CAGGAAAGACCCCAGAAGCTATTTTGGAGGCATTTGGGAAGGAAATCTCAATGTTTATGTGCCTTGGAGAAGGCTACCAGAAGGTTCTGCAGAATTCGTGTCTTCTGGGGAGAAATAAAGCTGCGGGAAGGCCAAAGAAAAGCAAGGCCGTGTCAGACATGGGGCCCAGAGTGAGGGCTATCTCTTGTCCTGGTTGAAGCATGTTTACTCCTCGTCTCTGGGGTCAAGCAATAACTTCCCAAAGCACACGAGTATACACACAGCAGTTGGCCCTGAAGTGCCCCCTGCATCTGCTCTGTGGGTCTTGTTTGTGATTTGTGTCTGAAAATAAATACTTTAAAGGTCCTGGACAGCAAACCTGTGTTTTCTAATAGCAAAGCGAGTAGACATTTTAGTTCCTTAACCGTGCTTATTAAACCAAAATAAGAACTTTTTGAATAAGGATCAGGGAAGAGATTTTAGGTTTGGAAGACAAATTATTCTCCTAGGGCCGCCTCAGGAATGCTTTCAAATTCAGCATGACTGATTTAAATGTTTTTCTTCTACTATAATATATTAAAACTTGCTGAAGCTTTATAAGAATATGAATCTCAGAAAATAGCTTCCCAAAGTACAGTTGGTGCCTTTTTTTGATTCTCGTGCATACCAAATTACACAGTAATATGTATAGCACTTAATGCTGACACACAGCAAGCGCCTGATAAATGTTTTAATATATTTATTTTTACAAAATGTTCACACTAATATTCAGTGTTAACCCAAAATAAGAATCTGTCTTAGAGAAGAACATCTCTGTGCCCCTCTTCAAAGAAGGTAACCATTTACGAAAGACCCAATTTATTCCCACTAGCACATCCTAGCTTTTTATGTTCAAGTGTTTCCTATTATCTGTTTTAGTTTCTTAATTTTGCTTCTGAGAAATTACTTTCCCTCTTACCTGTTGTTATTTGTATTGACTAATTTTTTTTTTTTTAAACGAGAGTCTCAGCATGGTAAGAGGAGGGAGGAATTGGAGGAAGAGGAGGAGAGAAAGGAAGGGAGAGAAAACACTCCACAATGGGGCCTGGTCATGCCGTAATCTCTTTTTTTGTAATTCTCCATTCTGTTGGGATTCTGGGCATGTGCATGTGTATCTAGCATATTGCTGCACTGAGACCAGCAGTTGAACCCTGGTCAGCCACGTGGGATCTGGCTGCTTCTGCAGAATGCTTTGCGGTGGTACTCCAAGGTCAATTCAAGAGGGGTATTCTTTACCGGGTATGGACATTGCAGCCCTCCTGCCCCAGCCTCCTAGTTAGCTAGGGTTAAAGGTGTGTACTGCAAATGGACTGTTTAGGTTGGTTTGGGAATCATAAACATGAAGTACATCACAAAGTTCATGGAAAAATGGAATTAAAGTAGGAGTTTATTTTGATGCAAAACCATTTTTAAATCCATACATAGTTTTTTTCATAATATGCGTTTTTTTCATGGTCTTTTTTGGGGACACCTTGTGCAGCCCTTTGAGTCTGGCCTTTTTTTTTTTTTTTTTTTGCTAGCATATGTATTTGAAATTCATCTGTGTTGTGTTTATGAAAACCTGTTCCCTTTTATTTAGTACACTTGCTACTTGTGATGTTTCTAGTTTTTTTGTGATTAGCATAATGCTGCTATAAACATTCATTTACAGGTTTCTGTATTAACATATGTTTTTCTTTCTCTTGGGTAAATACCTAGCAGTGGAATTGCTGGGTCATATGTCAGATGAATGTTTAACTTTGTGAGAAGCTACCACACTGTTTTCCCAAGTGGCTAAGCCACTTTGTTTTTGTACTAGCAATGTATGAGAGTTACAGGTGCCCCACACTGTCATCAACGCTGGGGGTTCTTGGTTTACCTCCCCCTCCCAGTCTAATAGCTGTGTAGTAGTATCCTTCATGGTTGATGATACTGAATATGGCCCATTCTACTTTTTTTTTTTCCTTAGATTTTTACCATAGGGTGTGCATGCTCACCAGAGAGAGGCAGAGACACAGAGAGGTAAAGTTAAAAATCACCTCCAGGGGACCAGCAGTTAGCGTAATGGCTATGTCGCTGGAATCCCATGTAGTCGACCATGGTTTGAGACCCGGACCTGGCAGCTTAAACTCATGCCGGGCGCGCGTGTGTGTGTGCCCGAGATCACAGGAGGAGAATGGAGAAGGGGTTGTGGCATGGCCATCGCCCCTGGGGGGGGTTTCTCACTTTCTATCTCTCTGGCTCTCTAGCGAGCGCACGTGCCCTATAGCGAAAACCTCTCAAAAAAAAAAAATATATATCACCTCCAGGACTCGAACTGTGGTTGGTCATGTGGAAGTCCACAGTGCTACCTGCTGGCCCTCCAACCTTCTTATTCTGTCTTACACTTGTATCTTGTTTGTTAAAGTCTTGGTTTAGATCTTTTGCCTGTTTTCTAAATTGTTTTTGTTTTTTTTTTCCTTTATTTTGTTTGTTTGTTTTGCCACAGGGCATGTGCACGGGCCAGAAGGAAAGGGAAAGTAAGAAATTACTGCACGAGGCAGATGGTCACACCACAATCCCTTCTCCATTTTTCTCTCTGGATTTTGGGCATGCATGGTCATGCGCCCAGTGTGTTCTTCAGGCCACCAGGCCTGGGTCTCAACCTTGGAGTCAGCCCTGTGGGATCCAGTGCCTTAACCACCCATGCCATCTAATGGCTCTGTTTCACTTTATTTATTCATTTTTAAAATTTATTATTATTTATTATTTTAATTTATTATTTTATTTATTATTACTACTTTTTAATTTGACCAGAGACATACAGAAAGAGAGAGAGAGAGCATGAGAAAGCAAGCTGCCAGGTCTAGGACTTGAACCATGGTTGGCCATGTGGGAGTCTAGCACCTTAACTACTGGGACCAGCAGTTAGCATAATGGCTATGTCGCTGGACTCCCATGTAGTCGACCGCGGTTCGCGTCCCGGACCCCGTGGCTTAAAACTCACGCCGGGTACGTGTGCGTGCGTGCCCAAGATCCCGAGAGGAGAACAGAGGAGAAGGGATTGCAGCATGGCCATTCTTCCTGGGGGGCGATTTCTCGCTTTCTGTCTCTCTGTCTGTCTGGCGAGTGCACGCACCCTATAGCGAAAACCTCTCCAAAAAAAGAAAAAGCAAAAAGAATTACCTTTTTAATTATTATTCTTATTATGATTTTTTTTTTTTTTTTTTTGCTTAGAGGGTGCATGCACTTGCCAAAGAGAGTTAAAAAGATGGAGAGAAAGGGAGAGGAGATATTATCCACTCTTCCACACTCCCCCCCTTCCCATGGAGAATGGTCTTGCTGAACTCCTTTCTCTTCCATGTCTCCCCTCTTTTGGATTTTGGGCATATATGAACAGATGCCCGGCTTGTTTCTCAGGCTGCCAGGTCCAGCACTCTGTGAGGTTGGCCATGTGGGATCTAGCTGCCTTACCCACTAGCCCATGAAGTCAGCCCTAAATATTCGTTGTATATTCTGGATACAAGTCTCTCATGAGAGATGTATTTTGCATTTTTTTTCTAGTCCATGACTTGTATTTTAATTTTGTAACAGTATCTTCAAAAAGCAGTATTAAGGGACCAGCAGATGGCGTGATTTTTACGTCACTGGACTCCCACATAGCCGAATGCATCCTGGACTTGGCTTTAAACTCATACCAGGTGTGTGTGTGTATGAGCGTGCCCAAGATCCCAAGAGGAGAATGGAGAAGGAATTGTGGCATGGCCATACTCCCTGGAGGGTGATTTCTAGCTTTTTGTCTTTCTCTGTCTTTCTGATGATCGCACATGCCCTGTAGCAAATTTCTCTCTCTCAAAAAGAGTTTTAAAAAATTTTGACTGAGTCCACTTGGTTAATTTTTATTTTATGAATTCTGCTTTTGGTGTCATATCTAAGAAATCGCTACCAAACCCAAAGCTGTAACTGTTTCTTCCTATGTTCCCTTCCAGAAGTTTTATAATTTTAGGTTTCATATTAGGGCTATAGTCCATATCGAATCAACTTTTGTATAGGTGTAATATTCTTTTCTTAAAAATATGTCTCTTTGACCCAGTACCATTTATCAAAAACACAAATTGTCTTTTCAAAGTTGTCAAAAATCATTTGATCATATATGTGCACGTCTATTTTAGAAATTTGTTTTCTGTTTTTCTATTTGTATGTCCTTTCAAAATAGCACACTTGAGGGGCCGGCAGGTGGTTTGATAGTTAAGGGTGCTGGTCTCCCACATGGCCGACTACCATTCAAATTCTAGACCTGGCAGCTTGCTCTCTTGCTTCCCTTTTCTCTCTTACTCTGTCCCTCTCTGATCAAAATTAAAATAAATAAATAAAGTTAAAAAAAAAGTCTCCTAAAATAACACACTTGATAAGTGTGGCTTTGTAGTCAGTCTTAAATCAGATAATTTGGATCCTCCAACTGTTCTTTTTCAAGATTGTTTCTGCTCCTCAAATTTCTTTGCCTGTTTGTATAAACTTCAGAATCAGCTTGACAAGCTTTTTAAAAAGACCTTTACTGGAACCAGCAGATAGCATAATGGTTGCATCACTGGACTCCCACATAGTTGACCATGGTTCAAGTCCTGTACCTGGCAGCCTAAAACATGCCTGGCGCATGTGCATGCCCAAAATCCTGAGAGGAGAGTGGAGG